TACTTCACCCTAATAGGTTCCTTTCTATAAGTAGCTTTTTGTTTTGACATAATCAGTTCCTTCACATGTTTTCTTCTTTTTCATATTTTGCATGGAGAATGGGGGACATGGCAGAGTACAGATAGTGAGCCATGTGATTTTAAAAACATTTTGATTCCTTGGCTCTGTAAAAGAACAACCGGGTGGCTGTGCAGATTTGACTGAAATTGTTGCTGGACATTTAAACACTGATCAGTAAACGATACATAAAGTTGACCCTCCAGTTTTGTATTTATTTAGTTTTCCAGTTACCTTACGTCACATGAAAACACCCTGCAGCAGATAGACCTGGTTCTGTTTCTGGTTTGTGCTATTAAGGTTCCTCTGAAGCTCAACTTCACCTGTTTGTTTTTTTGTTTTTGTTTTGTATTTTTAGCGAGGTGCAGAAAGCAGTCAACGCTGCTCAGAGCCTCCATCATAGATGGAGCGAACTGATGGTGGAGGGAGGCGGAGCCTCCAAGGAGGAGATAGACTGGACGACCAATGAGCTGAGGAACAGCCTGCGCTCCATCGAGTGGGACCTAGAGGACCTTGACGAGACAATCAATATCCTTCAAATGTGAAGCCAGCAGAAACACGCACAGGTGTATATACAGGCGTACTGGAAAGGTGAATACAGTTTTATGATTAGAGCATCTGATATTGGCTGATTCGTTCAGCTGTGGAAAAAGAAAGAATGAAGAAGAAGAGGAGATGTGTATCACCTCAAAACCCTGGACAGTGAAGACAGTTTTGTTTGTAAATCTTCACATAGACCTGGTGCACAAGGTGAGATGGAGCAATTTGATTGGTTCATAAATGGTTAGTCTGTTTGATGACAATTTAATGAAGAAGAGGAGGGTTAACAGACTCCTCCCCTCCCACTGCATCTGAAGCTGCTGATTGACACCCGTTTCCTCGTACATGCTGAGAGCAGATCAATCAATTAGTAATCTTTAATTACATATTTACAAACACTGAAATTGGCTCCAATCAATCACTGATTGTGAAGACGGAGTAAGTGATCGTGTTGAATTTATTAGAACAGGTCCCTCTTCTATGGAACCAGCTTCTAGTTTTGATTCAGGAGACAGACACTATTTCTACTTTTAAGATTAGGATTAGGCTTCAAACTTTTCTTTTTGCTTCTCTGGCTCTGTTCCACAGCATGGTTCTGTCTTCATCCCCTCGTCCCTAACTGATCTCTCAGAAGGCCACCCCTCACTGAGCATGGTTCTGCTGGAGGTTTCCTTCTGTTAAAAGGAAGAAACCTCCACCTTTCTACTGTCGCCAAGTGCGTGCACATAGGTCGTCTGATTGTTGTTGTTTTTTCAGTTTTCTCAGGCCTTTACCTAACCTAACACTATAAAGCAACTGTTGTTGTGATTTTTCGTCATTAACTTCAGCTAATATATTAAAATGTGTTTCTTATTTTGTTAAATATGCTCTCTGAGCTGAACTAGGTTTTACTTTCATCTTTAGCATGCATTAGGGGGCTACATGCCAACCCTGAGTTGAGGTCACGTCACCAACATTGTCATTATGTAACATGTTTTATATGAAAATAAGATAATTCTTCTTAACGGTAAGTTTACGTATTGTCGAGTCGAACCCAAAGAAGTTCAACCTGGATGCTGCCGAGCTGTCTAAGAGGAAGGCCTTCATCAACAGCATGCGGGTTGCCGTCAAGGTAACTTTATTGACAACAGGAGATCAATGGCTCAGACAGAAGGACCCAGTCATATTCTAATAATTTACAAGGTAGATCGTTCAGGTGATTGATTACCTGAGATGTCCAGAATTGATCGATTTGATTTGTTGCTGTGTTTGTTTTGCAGGAAATGAAAGCTCAGATGTCGATTCCACCTGCTGCTTCTGACCGAAAGAACAAACAGGTAACTGTCACACCTGCCTACGGGTGATCCATTACCCGAGACTGCAGAACCTTCAGGGCACCACAAGATCTCAGTTGGATCCTCTTGGGGTCCACCTGTATACCCGGTCTTGGTGCACGTGTAACTGTTGTTGTGACCTTCAGGCTCTGCTGGGTGAACGTGGTGCTCAGGGCCCCATATGGCAGCCTGGTGCAGATAAGTACAGCCGACTGGACCACCAGCTACAGAACGCTAACTCTCAGATCATCGAGGAACAGCAGGTCCAGCAGCAGGTACAAGAACACCTGAGAAACCTAAACAAGTTTTCCACCTTTACAATGCCGCTAAAGTGTTTCCTGTCTCTGATAGCTGATTGCGGAGCAGCAGGATGAGCAGCTGGAACTTGTGTCGGGATCCATCGGAGTCCTGAAGAACATGTCGGAGCGAATCGGCATGGAGCTGGATGAGCAGGCCGTGTAAGAACCGAGTGTAGTAAGAGGGGTGGGTGGGAACGTCATGTGACTACAAAATGTCAGAGTGGTAAAGGTGATTCGGTAAACTAAAGTTCCTGTGATCCCCAGGTCGGTGCTTTCTCAAAGGCATTATGTTTGTTTTTGTTGTTGTGTTTTTTATGTGACGATTAAAGGTCACTTCCTGTTCTTGCTCCTCACCATAGCGGCTCATTGTCTGATCTTTTGTGTATGAAAAAGCTTCAGACAGCTTTTAGGTTCTGATATAGTAATTTCCAAATAAAATTTAATTGAACTGGAACTTTATTTGGCCTGTAATAAGCAAAGAGGTGAGGGGGGAGTGGAGGCACCTGTCAGAGACTTACTGATGTCCTTCCTGCAGGATGTTGGATGACTTTGGCCATGAGATGGACAACACTCAGTCCAAACTGGACAACGTGATGAAGAAGCTCGCCAAGGTGTCCCACATGACCAGCGGTAATCTGCCCAACAACACATGAAACAAGATATGAGTTAACTCAGAGGGGTGGGCAGGGTTTTAGATGTTCAGAGCTGATGAATCAGAAATGATCAATTAGGGCAGGAAATTTTGTAGCTTTAAGCTGATTTGGATTTATTGATGATGATGATGATGATGGAATTATTGATCTTGCTGTAGTTCTTCCCTCTGCGGATTGAACTGAGCTGGAGTCAGTGTGACTACCTGTATTGATGAGGTGCACTCACCTGTACTCATCTTATTAACTCTGTGTGTTTGCAGATCGTCGTCAGTGGTGTGCCATCGGCGTGCTGCTTACCATCCTCTTCATCATCATTCTCCTTTTCTTTATACTCTGATCAATGCCTCCACCTATCGACATGAAATCTTAATCCCGTTTACTGGACTCCATTTATACTCTACTGAACATTCTTTGGACTATGCTGAACTTTATTTAGACTCTAATGGACTCTTCCTGCTGATCGGGAGTGAACAGCACTTTTGGTTCCTTGAGTGTTTAACTGTTAGAACCACCTCAGAGGTCAAAGGTCATGTTTGGTGTGGTTTTGATTGGTTGTTCTTTTTATTTAAAACTGAAAATAACAAGTTTCACTCGAGTTTAATGTGGACTTATTCTGCTCCTTTGCACAGTAGCTTTGCGTAAGTCACAGCTCAAAGTAATCCTTCTTTTATTTGATACTAGGCCTTGGTGCAGCCCCTCAATTTATCCTCCAACACTTCAAGACAGTCTTATTGGCTGCCCCTCATAAACAGAAGGTATGAACAGCAGGTGGGTGGGGCTTCTATCCTCTCTCTGTGGCATCTTCCAGATTCAAGAATAGAAAAAATGTTGAGAGCAGTCTGAGCTCTTGGCTCACAGGGAAAACTATATCCTCCTGAGAAACAAGGAAAAAGGAATCTTTTTGTGATTTCCTTCCTTTTTGGAGCTAAAAGAGGCCACCCAGACACATGAGATCTCAATGGAAAGCCCAGGATGTCCTCTATTTAGTACGTCAGGACTTAGTAGGGTAGAACAAATAATTCAAAACATATAGACCAAAAACAAATGTACATTAGAGAGGAAATGATGAATAGGCTGGTTCTCAGGAGGGTATGCACTGTGACATAATTATTAGAAACTTTAATACAAACATCCGTCACATGAGCAGGAGACACACGACAGGAAGTGAGGAGAGCAGGTCCACTTTAAAGACACTTTTATCCAGTTGTGTTGAGTACGAATTTTAATTTAATGTCAGAGTTTAACTCACATTTAGTTCAGTTCAAACTGGTTTAGTTCAGTTTGAACTTCATGGTCGTACTTTACAGCTAAAGTAGAAACACTAAAATTCCTGTTTTGTTTTTTGACTGAAACCGTTTTATTTTGTTGTCTTTTTTATTTCTGTTTCCTGTATTTATCACATGTGCAGCATATTGAGTGACTTATTGACCTGTGGATGACTTCCTGTGGCTCCTTTAGTGTACTATTCTGAAGGCTGGTGAGCAAGTTAGTTAAAACATGAAAATGGATGACGGCAGCAACAGCCAGTCACATTGTCCTAGATATCGGGTTTATGGTACGCCGTGACGGTGGCAATTCTCCTGGGGCCGCTAAAATGTTTCCTGAATAAATGATCTCAGTGTTCTGATGTCTGACTGAAACGCAAAACAAACTGAAATAAAGATTGTGACAAACCTAAAATTTCACCTGCTTTTACACTAAAGATTAACCAGACTGCTCAGGTTTCCGCAAAACTTTATTCCTCACACTAAACAAGAATAAATAATGAGTGTCCGAATGGAGAAAGCTGTTACAGATCAGTGATTGATAAAAGTATTATCTGGTGACCGATGGTATATGTCTCGAGCTTCTTTTTTTTTTTTTTTTTTTTTTTATTCAATAAAGAAAAGAAAAGAAAAAACAGACTTTGACCATTTGATTAAGGTACATTTTAATCCAGTCTGACTGATTTCAATTATTGACCAATGAGTTTTTCACTTTGAATAATTTTCTTTTGGCAGGTTCCAGCTTGTTTTTAAACAATATTTTTCTTTTTCTTTAGCAAAACAAACACAGACAAAATAAAAAACCAAGCTACTTCATGAAAAAAACAAACAATAATATTATTAATATAATAATAAAATAAAATTGAAAAAACAAAAAAATAGTATCAGCTCAGAGGACAAATACTGCATGGCATTAAACAAATATTCACACCAGCAAGTCAAAGTGATTTAACAGGAAACAAGAAGCTTCTCATCATGAGAAAGTGTAAGACATAGACTGCAGTTTTGCTTTAACTCTGTTACTGCCATAAACAGGTGAGTCAGGTTCAGTGTTGGCAACTGGTTCTTCAGTCAGGCAGTGTGGTTGTCACTCTGAACGTGTCCTCTGGTGTCGAAGGACCCGAATGGTGACAGACTGGTTCTTGATCAGGAGGTTTGTCACCTGGTCCAGACTGAGGCAGGCCACCTTCTCCTCGTTGACTTCCAGGATCTCATCTCCAATAGCCAGCAGGCCAGCATACAGCTTCCCAGTGCTGCTGTTCATGTCTTCTATATACACACCTGTAATGTACATCAAACTGTTAGTAGTTTGTTGCTCTAAAAAAAAAAAAAGCCCTCATAAAGCTAGAACGTCTTACTATTTATCACTGATTGAAGAAAAAAAGAACAAGGTTTCTCTTCAGCACTGTAGCCAGGCTGACAAGAAGTCAGAGCACTGTTGAGCCAACCATTCCTTTAACATTAATTAGTAATGTCTTCATGAACTTCTTCACAAATAAAATGTTAACTATTGCAAAACAAAATTATTCATAACATACACAGATACTTTCAATACTGTTGATATTTATTTAGAGTTTTTATTTTTCTAACTTTATTTCAATAATTACTTCCTCCAAATGATCAGCATGTCTTTAGACCCCATTCCTACAAGACTGCTCAAAGCTGGCAGTAGTTAAACTGTTACTTAAAAAGTCATCACTTGACCCAGCTGTCTTAGCTAAATATAAGTCAATCTCCAACCTTCATTTCACCTAAATTGTTTTTGAAAGAGTAGTTGCCAAACAGCCAAATGATTATCTGCAGAGGAATCTTGTATTTCAAGAGTTTCAGTCAGGTTTCAGAGTTCCTCACAGTACAGAGACAGCTTTAGTGGAGGTTATAAATGATCTTCTTATGGCCTCTGGTGTTGTATGTTATTCATCCTTGAACTTGGACTCACATATAAAATTGATCTCCCATTCCTGTTTCTTCCATTTAAGGAACATTTTTAAATTGCAAGCTATAGTTGCCTCCTCTGAAATGAAGAAAATTGTTCATGCATTTGTATCATCACACTTAGATTATTGAAATGCTCTCTTTATGGGCATGGACAAATTATCTCTGTTATGCCTCCAAGCAATAATGAATGCTGCAGCCAGACTCCTGAAACACTCTGGGATGCCAGCTCACATTACCTGCATTTTATTTTCTTTACATTGGGTCCCAGTTGACTTTAGAATTCATTTTAAAATTCTCACACTTACATGGAAAGAATTATTAACCCCTCTATAAAAATGTAGTTTTTTTTCTTTATTTAAACAGTGTAAGGAATGTTTAACACAGGTCTTCCAAACATTGTAGTTTTATTTGTGATGCTTACATACACTCAATCTGTTACATTTTTTGACCTATAGTTTTCGGCATAGTTTTTGTCGATAACCCTTTTTTTCCCCTGACAATACAACATGGTAATTAATTAAAAACTGATGCACAAGGACAAAAACTATGATGAAATGTATTTATACTTTTGAAAAAAATAAATAAAAATGAGATCCAATCAGAACAAATTAAATTGTGTGGAAAGGCGGGACAAATGTGGCAGTGATCCAATCCTTGTGCAGTTGTTTAATGCAGTGTCATTTTCCTGGACTACATCCAGGAAACTTCAAGCTGCATGGTGCAAGGAACAGCTTGCACCATGCAAGCTGGCTCATCAGGCAGTGATGTGCTTTGTGATCTATTGGTGGTGCCGCACGCTCATTTCATTGTGGGAACTGTCATTTTCTACATTACTGTCACTGTTCCACAGCAGGACAATAAAGTCCCCAGATAGAATCTCCCTGACCCCAGCATATTAGTGAGTCGATATATTTAGTAATGTGAGTAGTCTTCCGAGGAGGAAGCAGAGTCTGGGGTTGAGGGGAATGACCCGCCAATTTCCGGGGGCGAGGTCACTGAGGCAGTTAAACAACTCCTTGGTGGCAGAGCCCCTGGTGTTGATGAGGTCCGCCCCGAGTTCCTGAAGGCTCTGGACGTTGTAGGGCTGTCCTGGTTGACACGCCTCTGCAATG